GTACTGGTACTCAGATCTAGGTACTGTTCCTGGCTCTGCTATTGACTGCAGTTCGGTACTGGCGCAAGTCAGTTAACCTCTCTCTGGCTGTTCCCCACATACAAATTGGGAATAGCACTTGCCTTACAGTGGTGCAGTATGTGAATTAGTCAATGTCAATGATGCTTTGAGATCATTGGTCATAAGGCATTATAGAAGTGCAAATGATGGCAGTAATTTATCCAGAAATTAAATTAGATACTTTAAAATAAGTCTAGAAAGCATAGTTTACAGACAAAGGCATCTACAGGCCTAACATGTGCAGGGATTAATACTGTTGTTTGCCCTGTTATATGTTTAAAATTAATATTAACTGCTAAGGTTAATAGTAAAAATTAAGCACAAGAAAGCATTTTAGAGGTAGTGATCAGATGTGTTTACAGGTGGTTGTCTGAAGGTTAGCTGAAGCCTAATTATAACAACTGACATTCTCCTCACTGCCAACCCTCCCGCCCCACCACCGAAGTGCTACTCTTATTTCTATAGCCAGCTCCCACCTCCGTAGGAATTTAGGAGTTAATATTTACCTAAATTATCTCTTGATCCATATTTTGATCAGCTGACTAAGAAAGCCTTTTATGACTAGTGAATTATTATACTATGGAAAGCTCTGTGCTCCTTTATGATTTTACCTCGTTATAAACAATTAATTCGTATAGACTGGTCATCGAGAATATACCTTGTGAAAACTCCTAAGTGATCGATAATGCTACACAGAGGTTAAACATTGGTACAAATTATCACACTTCTGTCACCATACTGGCTTCCTAGAAAAAACGTGACCATCTTGCACTGTGTTGTATCCTGCACTCCCCTGTGAACTGATTAACAGAGTTTAAATACAGATTTGAGACTGATGGTGCAAGAGCCTTTGCTGGTTGAACCCTAATGTTATGAAACTCCTTGCCTAATGACATTAGAGCTAATTCAGTATCCCTGCTTACAGTTAAATCCCAGAGATTTTTGTCTTCAGCCTTTCCAGTGCTTGAACTGAATTTGTGTTTTGTGTCTGTCTTTGTACAGTGCCTAGAGATACTCATATAAAAATATACTTAGAAATGTATGACGAAAGGGAACAAATGCAATTAATTGTAAGATCAGTATTATCTATAGCTAGGAAATGGGGCACTCCCAGGTTTTTTAAATCAAAGTGTAGCAGAAATCTGAGATTAAACTGAGATGTCCCATAGTCTTGATAGTGATTTTCTGTGGTATCAGTGGTACTGAACCACTGCTGATGTCTTATCAAAATAATTTTGTGTATCTGTAGTAGCCATTTAAAAATGTGTGTCTAGCTGAGATATTAATAGAGCGTCCATCACCATAGTAACTAAGAATTAAGCAACTAAGGAATTTTAGGAAGACAGTTGGGATTTGGTTCCTCTCAGAAAGAAACAGGAGGCTAAAAGACACTTCTGCCTTCAAAGACAGCAAATCCCCTAATAAGTATGGTGAAATGGCAGTATTACAGTCCATTAGCTTGGAAGGAGGATTGGGAATCTCTGAGATACCATAATTAAGGGGCAACAAGCTATAATTCCTGGAGAAATGAAAATGAAGTGGCCAATGTGTTTTAGAGAGGAATTTCTTGAAGATCTGAAATTTAAAAATACCCTGTACAAGAAAAGGGAAAATAATGTGGACTGTAAAAAATAATCCACAGTTCTACTCTGAAGGTCAGGGTGGCCTCACCATGGGTAGTAGCAGTTAGGGTTGGAGGGACCACAGTTAAGGGTCTTGTAGACTCAGGTTGTGGGTGCACCTTGGTCTGGGAAAACCAGGTGAGGTTAAATAGCCTGGACCAACACCTCCCAGTATGTATCTCCTATATATACATGGCGAGACCCGTGTCTACGCCACTGCAGAAATTGAGCTGGAAGTGCAGGGCTGGGGAGCTTGACTGTGTGCTGGGGTGATCATGGGCCTGCCTTGGACCATAGTTCTAGGCAGGGGTGCGGGAACAAATTTTGTAGAGAGGGTGCTGCGAGCCATTGAACCAAACTGTAAACCCTGTATATAATGGAAACCATTTCAAGCCAAGGAGGTGCAGAAGCACCCCTAGTTCCAGCACCTATGGTTTTGGGGAGAGACTGGGTGGGTTTCTCAGCCCTCATGCAGGAGGGACTAGGTCAGTAGCCCAGGACCAGAGGGGTTCGGGACCAACTGGAAAAGGAAGTAAAGGGGCTGGGAGCCAGAGTAAAGATGGCAAAGGGGACTGAGAACATGGTTTTCCCCAGGGTTTGAGGGACCAGCTTAGGAAGTGCCAACAGGAGTTGGACGAAGTAAGCACCTCATGGGGGAAAATCAGCGAACTTGTCAGGATAGAACAAGAGTTAACCCGGGTTCAGATAGAAGCAAAGGGGCAGAGGAAACAATGCTGGGCCCTGCAGGAAGAATAGGCCCAGAGAGGTCAGCGGGGTACAGCAGAGACCTGGGGTGCAGCAGGATACTGTGGGAACCCAGGCTGAACTAGCCATTGAACAACCTAGCGTGGGGACTCAGCCAAGATTTCTCCAACAAAGACAGGCTCAAGAA